ATGGAGAAGATTGTTTAATTTATGCTGGTAATTCGGCTCAGCCGAATATTTTGCAACAGTTGTTTGGTATTTCATCTGTTGAAGAAATGTCCAATCAGGTACAATTTTCTTTATATTTTATTCCACTTTGTTTATCAGTTTTCATAGTCAAACTTCTTCGGTTGATATTGGCAATAAATGTTTATTTGCCAAAAATAAGTTGCAGCAAAAATGACATGCTATATGTACTCCCAAAACTGAACTTGTGTGGCAACAGAATAGCATACATCCATTTTTTATTTTTTTGTTGGATTTTTTAAAAATTATATTCGTTTGCTTTTGCTTTTATCTCTGAATTTGACTTTTCAGCTCTTGATTTGTTTCGTTCGTAGATTTAAACAATTTCTTGCATAACATTTCTTGTGTTCGTTAAGAAATTAGCACTTACTTCTTGCTTCATTTCTTTCGTCAGTTTACCCTTCAGGAATTTGACAATCCTTTGTCGAAGAAGCTGAATGCCATTGTGAATGAAATAAGGCGCCAGCGGTGTTCTTATTTACGGTATAAAATGTTAAAATACAAAAATAAGTATAATATTTCATTCCATGACTTGGTCAGTTATGTTGAGACACCTTTCTAACTTTCGATGCCTTGTTCTATTCTGCAGTTTGAAATTTTGCAAAAAGGGAGATCCTTCAGGTTAGTTCCCGGCAAAATTATAATCCAATCCAATGGCTGAACTTCCTTATTCTTAACATAAAAATCGTATCACCTTGTTCGTTAACTATGGTTTTATAAGCTTTAACATTTAATCTCAGTCTACAATGCTTTTAGTGCATTTTGGACGATTACTATCCGAGAATGTTGTCTATTCAAAGTTTTGTTTATTGGGTTCACTTTTCGGTTCTATGCAGGCATGTTGTTTTTCTCTTACATGGTAGAGGACAAATCACCTCTCGGGCTCTCATACGTCGAGTATTTAATACATATCCATCGACAGATTCAGAGTAAAATGGCTTAAACCTATCGATGAAAATTCGGATTTCTCTTGGAAAAAAAAAGGGCAATAGCTGATGCCAATAGAAGGTCGTGTTCATGCTCTAATGCTGTTTGGGGGCATATAGTTTTGAGAGACAATTTTGTTTCTGATGGTTACTAAACTATATATATAGTCCAAATGTAGGAAAAAATAAAACTCAAAAGTGTTGCCTTAAATTTAGTTCTTATTTCTGTTATGCATCAAACAATGTTGGTTATAGATGTGGACCATATGTTGTATTACTATTTATACTTAGTGGCAGTCTTGGTTACAAATAACACTCATGAATGAAGCTTTGGAGGTATGGTTATAATGAAAATACTTTTTGGTTCCAAAGTACTTGGTGATTATTAGTGTTCCTTTTTTATTTTTTTATTTTATTTATTTATTTATTTTTTTTTATTTTGGGCAAAATATTGGTGTTCCAAAGTACTTTTTGGGGTGGTTTTTATTCTAGTATTGCTAGTAGTGTTTTCGTCTAGGTTGCATC